GACGGGCTACAAGGTTAGCAGCTACCCGTCTAACCAATAATAAACTAAATGCTTCTATCGTCAGTCACTTGTTAATGTCAATATTTAGCTGGTTAGTTCGGCAGTCAAGTAATTGTTTCGTGGGGTAACTCACGCTGGCGAGCTAGCTAGTTAACGTTAGATTTAATGGCAAGTGCTAGCTCTACTAGCAGCTATTTCATCGTTTTGTTACACACTGCGTCATTACGGAGCTTTCTTATAGCTCATAGGAGGCACGGTTACTTACATAAGCAGCGATAAAAACACCACTCAGTCCAAAGTAATAACGTCTTCACCGATTCAGAGTACGTCTTTGCTCAGTGTGTCTGCAGTGATGGAGTACTGCGCTAATAGTTCCGTGTTTCAAAGAGGGTGGGACAACATCTCCGTACCAGCCCCATGCATTTCACACAGGCACCCTCCCATCATCCCTCCGTCCAGGTTTAGGCGGAATTACAGTGTAAGTACCGGAAAATCAAAAGTCTTGTGGGGACTTTAAGTTGTCTAATCGAATAGGTACATTATGGTCCCCAGCACAACTGTTTTACAATTTTTTTTATAGGGCTTACAGAGAAGGGTCCAAAAAGAGAAAATATTCAGAGAGTGGCAGTTCTCTTTGTGAACAGACAGACTGCTTCAAGGGAAGGCAATGCACTCAACTCACTCAAATAACCACTCTTTACAAGGAAGGCATGCAAAAGAGCATCTGTGAACACACAACACACTGCTACAGCTGCATAGGACCTCACCAAGTGGGACTCTTATTAGCTCAGAACAGGAAAGAGGCTGCAATTGACACAAACTCACCAAAACTGGACAATAGAAGACTGAGGAAACATCGCCTGGTCGGACAAGTCTCGGTGTCTGTTCTAACAGTTGGCTGGTAGGTTCAGAATTTAGTGTAAAGACCATGAAGGCGTGGATCCATCCTGCCTCACAGCAGTAGTTTAGGCTGCTGCTGCTGGTGGTGTAATGTTGTGAGGGATTTTTTTTTTAACCAACTGAGCCTCATTTAAACACCACAGCATAGCGTACCATCCTTTTATGACCACAATGTACCAATCTTCTGATGAGTACATTTAGCAAGATAACGCACCATGTTGTACAGCTGAAATAATCTCGAACTGGTTTCTTGAGTATGACAATGAGTGCACTTTACTCAAATGGCCTCCACAGTAATAACATCTTAATGCAATAGAGCATCTCTGGAATGCAGAAGAACAGGAGGGTCGCTTCATGGGTTTGCGGCCCAAAAATCTGAATCAACTGTGTGATGCTGTCATTCCAATATGCCCCAAAACTTCTGAGGTACTGTTTCCAGTACCTTATTGAATCAATACCATGAAGAATTCTGAGGGGAAAAGGGCTCCTACCCAGTACAAGTAAGGTGTACCTACTAATGTTAGGCCTAAATACAGATTCAACAATTCTATTTCAGGTTTAAAATTTTAGAATAAAATAAATTTCATTTGGTATTATGTAACAATATTAAACTGAACTGAAAGAGAGTGTCTGATTTCAGTCATATGTCTTTATAGAGTTCCAGATTAAATAACGAGCCTCTCCACAGTGTGCCAGTTATAATTGTTGCCTTGAAGAGCCAACATATCTGGTGGTTTGCATGCATAATGTGAAAGGAAAAACTGGAGAGCGGCTGAGCTTGCCTTGGGACGTTTCATGACTGCAGGCTTTTGTCACATCCACTAACAATGTCACCCAAATTTCACAATGATGCACAACCTAGGCCTTTAGAAATGCCAGAAATGTCAGAAGAGTTTTAATAATATTAATTATTCTCATTAGTCAGACTTAGATTGATAACATTTATCCCTTAGCTACTAAGTGAAATGAATGAACACGCAAGATATATCTGAAATTGAACACACAAGCCTTAAAGACGTTATATGTCCACCTAACAGCCTCAGGTCATACAATCTTTGCATTACATGCAGTAGGATGCAATGCTTATGCAACCAGGTGTCATGGCTTAAACTATAAATTTATAATAACTCAGTGAAATGCTTCATTGAGTCAGCTCTCTATGATTGTTTGTGTCTCTGTCTGTGTGTGTTGTCTCAAACAGGTGATACAAACTTGAAGTGATTATCAACAGTATAATAATATCACATGCTCACACACCGCAACTAATATTGCTGCCTTCCTCCTTTGCAAATTGTCACCCATTCCCCTTCCTTTTATCTTTTCATAAAATCTTTGTTAGAACAAATTGTATCTGTGCTGTCTTTTAGTCTACAGTTGTTTGTTTTTTCTTAAATAAGGGACACTGTTTAAATATGCCTGCAGCTCCTCAGCATAGAGTTCATTAGGACTCACAATGTATCACCAGAATGCCACAATAGAAACCTGTCAAATACTGAAATTTCAAATTGGATGTTATTAGTTTTACTACAATAACCTCAGCGTCACCTAGAACTCCACAGCAGTGCTCTTATTCATATTGACTCCTTTATTGACCCATAAACATGTATAACATGAAAGTTGGTTTATAACATTTTGTACAAAATTAATGGGCTACAGTTCAGAGAATGGAAATGGAGTTTCTATGAAACTTGTGAGACAAGAAAAAAAAGAATGCATGCAGTGCAAATGTCAGCCTACATATAAATAAATATGAACATCCAGGCCAAAAATGTCTCTGTAGGCATGGAAGCATATTCAGAAACATGTCTTCCTTCCACTACTGATTAAAAAATGTGGCAGTGCAAAGGTGGAGCAGGAGATAAGACCAAACCTCAACTGTTTTTAGAAGGATGTTTAGACACTGTTGTTAACTCTTTTAATTTTGGTTGGTTTAAGAGGGTGTCACACTGTTGAGAACCACACTGAGGAACACCTTTGTAAATCCATGAAGGTGTGTTGTTCGTCTGCAACAACAACAACACCTTCTTTTTTATTCTTTTTTTGACATGAGGACAAAAGCTGGCTCCACTTACATCAGTCTTATTTCTCTGACGTATTCCACGTCTGCACACCCATGCGTGCTGTCTTTGAGCGTTACTTCTTTCATAAAACCACGGGCGGAGCTCTTTTGTATTTTCACGCTGGGCGACATTTCATTCAAGTACAGACATGTGTGAACACTCATATTTACGTGGCAAGCAAACACACCTCATTTTGTACTCTCCTCAAATCACTCATCATGACCTTGAGAAATGGTGGCAGAGGGTGTTTCAAATCTGTCGGACAGTCTCTATTAAAATAAAATTAAAAATTCAATCATATGAGGATAACCGGGAAAAAAAAAGATTACTGTCAGCAGTGGTTTTATTTGAGTCGCACAAATTTTGTGCTGTAGAGACTTGTCATGTCCAATTTATATCAGTAATTTAATTTTTTTTTAATTTGTGTATTAACACGAGTGTCTGAGTGAAATTAACTGGGGTATGATTGAGATTTTCCATAAAGTGTTTTTTTCCCCCACTTTGGTTTGGATATATCTAAATACTTGGTCTTATTTTCTTGCACCTGCAGTGTTAGTGTCTTTACGTTGGTGATAACTCACCCGAAGTATCATAACTGTAGATTTTGAGGAAGATAAGAAGTTGTGCTGTTACAATAATGTGGCATGTAGGGCATTTTAGGTTACACTGAGATCAAACACCACGGTCTGATATGTATAGCTTCTCTTTATTAGCTGATTTAATGCTGTGGACACAGTTTGGAGTACAAACAAATCATACACGTCTTAGCTCTAATGAAATCTAATACATGCAGGTAGCTTTTCTTTGCTGCAAGCTCTTTAGTTTACACTGCTGACGCATCATGTGCAAATGCACCACCGCCGTGACACAGTTAGAGCAGACGTCTAAAGGTTTATTTGAGCCAGTGCACGGTAGTGTTTGGCACCACACAAAAGATCCGCCCTGTGAATCGATGCAGGCTTGAGGCCTTGAGCAGATCCTTGTCCATGACTGGGAATTTGCATTTAAATTGCATCACCCACACAGCCTGATGCAGTGCACCTGAGGAAGTACAGAAGGAATTGGGATGAGTTCAGGAGCAATGACATACTGCTACTGTATTTGAAATAAATACATTATAAAAAAACATAAGACAAGCAACAAAACAACGAATTTGACTCATTCCTTATCTTTCTGCTCCTTACTTTGGATCTAAAGTTGTGATAAGAAACCATGTGATCACATAAATCACTGCGGTGAATTACACAAAATGTGTTTGTTTTTGTCTTTTAAGAGTTGCCTATCTGGACTCACCCTTGACCAACACAGGTGTGGTAGGTGGTATTATATGATGGGCTTGGTCAAAGATTACAGACAAAAACAGGTTGCATTCCACGGTGGGGAGTCTCCTTGACATTCATTGACCAAACAGACCCATTAGCACTCCTATTAGCTGAATTTGCAGTGGATGGATGATTCTCCAGAAAACAGTGCACCTCATAAACTGCTTGCCCCATTGAACGGCCACAGAAGCTCTGAAATGTAATAAAAGCCTACCTGTTTAAAAGCCGCTGAAGATCAGTTCACTTATATTTGATCCAGGAACACAAGTGTGACTGAAGGACAGGTTATATTTGATATTTGGCTATAGATGGATAGTGTGACGAGTGACAGAAAGACATTCAGACAGGTTGCACTGTTTGCACTGTGTTAAGTGTGAAGCTTTAAGAATGAAACCCTCTTTTTAAAAAACAACAAAAACATAGTACACATGTTTTCTTATTTGGTTAAACACATTAGACATAAAAACAATGATTTTCACCGAGATGTGTGTATATAGTTCCTTCACCCATGCCACTATCACCAGACTTCTTTTTTTTTTTTTTTTTGAATTGCAGTAGGGTATATTGTCACTGGAGACAGGTGTACTGCAGTCTTCGCATAACATACATTTTTTTGAACTAGTGCGCACAGAAGTGCATTATCTTAGCACACTGGTGCAACACTGGGCATGTGTATATCATAGTCCAGCCCCGCAAACCCGCCCACCCCTCCCTCTGTGCTTCTTCGGTGCCTCTCCGTCCGCCCGCCCGCAGCAGTCTCCTTCACGGCGAGCTTTCACTACAGAGATGGCTGTGAAAGTGTGTAGATCAGTACTCCTCTTGTCCCGGAGCAGCGGAGCGGTGGCCAGCAGCCGCCCCGCACTTGTTGTCTCTTCACAGCGGCATCATCAGCATATAAGACCGGTAAGTCCCAGGACGTCTGAGACAGCTCCGAGAGAGAGAGACAGAGAGAGAGAGAGAGAGGGGTAGGGACCGAGCTGGCGAGGCTGGACCGGAGAGAAGGCAAGCGGGGCTGGCTAAGGAAGTGAAGCTAACTAGCGTCAATATCTCCCCCACTTCATTTATTTCTTTGAGGTCGAGCTTCACGTAAAGGTGAGGCACACGACGAGTCATGATACGTATCCCAACCTGGTGTCGCGTGGATATTTTAATCCACGGTGGGACGTAGAGGTTTGACAGAGAGGCAATGCAGCTTTTTGGAGCACTTGAAACCCATCGACACCCCGCTGCTGCTGCCCCGCCGTTTACTGTAACTAGCCTTCAAACATTCGCCTCTCAAAGGCTTCATAACCCGTGATTAAAAAAAACAAAAACAACAAACCCAAAACCCAGAAGAAATCCTTCAACTTTGCAGGCATATGTTAATCCCAGTATCATTCTGATCAGCGAATGTGAATTAGAATAAGACCCAGTTTGAGCTTCTAGGTTGCAGTACCTGCTAGGGTTGGTTTGACTGTGGAAGGGTATGGATGCCTTATTTTTTGTGCTTTTGCAGTAAAGGTGTGATTGAGAGCCCGTGGCTGATGGTTAGCCCCATCTCTCTGCTATTACCTGGTGTGTTTGTGCAGCAGCAGAAACTCAGAACAATGAACATCTGTCCAGACCTGAGGAGGAAGTTGTGCTTGTGTGTGTGTGTGTGTGTCTGCAAGAGAGCTGAAGAGAGTTATCCATAGATGCACTCAGTGTTGACACATGAGGCTTCACAGAAACATGGAAGTCTGTACTTGGATGATGTCAGACTCTCCAGCCAGCCTGCTGTTTCTCCCCTCCCTGTGGGTGTTTCCCCATTCATCAGGGAAATCCTAGGTATTCCTGCAAGCTGATGCAGGTCTTTTCTTTACATGGTCACTGTAGTAATGGATGCACCCTCAACAATGCTCACAATAACAGGAAGGCAATTGCGTTTACAGAGCTGTCACTACCATGCAATAGTTGCACAGCGTTTTCCTGCCTCTGTCACCCCCGCCCCTCCCCCCTTGTCAGAAGGGGGGGTGTCACAGAGGCAGAGGAAACTGTGAGTCTTTCCAGCAGCAGCCTGAGGAGGGAGGAGAAGCCCAGGATGGGGTTCTGGGAATGTGGAAGTCTTTGCAGTATTTAGAAGTACTGATGTAATGTTTTGAGAGTTTTGTTGTCTTTCTCTCTATCTCTGACACCATCTTCAGGCACACTTTCCACAGGCCTTATGAAATTAAATGAGGCTTTCCTTCTCAGTGAAGCAGGCCAGCCCGGAGGTTAAGGAGCTGTCAGAAGAGACACACGCACTCCATATCTCCACACTAGACCCACTGTGAACTGTCTCCCACTGTGAACTATTACAGTGAAAAAATTTGAGTCTGAATTGATATTCTTGGCCTCTTCCATCTCTAAGAAAGCCTTAACTGTTTTAAGCACGTTACTACTCACTGTCTCTTGCCAGAGTTGGCCGCTAATAAGTTTTCATTTTATTTCAGGCTGCCCAGGTTTGTAGTGTTGTTTGTCTGTCATATTGTGTCTCTGTCCAGTGAAGCGTTGCTGCGGCGGCCCCTAACGCAGGCCTGTCACTTTGTGACAGCCAAGCCTCTGTATTCATTTGTGAGTCTTCCAGTGGAAACCCTGTTTTGGCACTAGTGTTGATTAAAGCTGCAGTGGGATGCATACAGTTTCCATGCAGGCTGTATGCACACGTGTTTCAAACAAGACCTAAATATGGTTTCTAGAGCCCAACTTGAAATGTAGAGCTGTGTAATGGCTCTGATGATGGGGCTGCAAAGGAGACAGTGTACTCCATATGCTTGCATTTAACCTGCACTAGATTAATATTGAGCCAGCTGTCATATATGATGCTCCTGATGTGTAGTAGGAGTGGCGAGTCACTGGGAATACTCCTTGTAAAAGGGTTATAAATCAGTCAGGAGTTTCTGTACTGCGAGATAGTCAATATGTTCATATCTTGCATCTAAAATATGTGATTTAATGGAAAATGTGGCAATAAAAGGCATTAAATATTGTTTTTTGTAGTCATTTACTTACATTAAAGCTCCTATGTTCATTAAAGCTGAACAGCTGGAGACTAGAGCAGCTGGGGCCGGGGGGCCGAGGCCCGCTCCTGGCTTTTAATCCAATCAGTAAAGGAGTAAACTAATTTATCCGTGCTGCCTTCACAGACTCAGCTCTGAACTTGTCCGGATTAGTGTGATAAGAGAGTGACTCTAAGCTTGTGGCTGTGCTAAGGGTGATAAGATAGCTGAATGACTGATAGACGTGTGCGCAATGGCAGTTCCATCAATGTTATTCTACCATTCACGGACAAACTGGTTTCAGACTCAGCGATCCAACATTTACAGACTGAGGGGGGAAACAGGTATATGGTATGAAGTGATGGGGGAAATGTCCATTCGGCTGCCATTTATCTGCTACTTAATGAGTCCGGTCTTCAGTTTGCAGTCAGATGATTGGCAGGTGTATGACGCCATGTTGTGTGAAAAATAACTGATGGCAATTCAGAGACCGTTTGTTTATGACATTTGGGTTTTACAATGATGACCTTCGTTTCTGTTCTCAGATGTTATCACATCATGGCCAGTAGCTCAGCAGGAGAGAAGTGATAATAATGTGTGGTCAACATAGCTGATATTGGATTACTATCTATACACAGGGGCGTTTTTAGTGGGATGAGTTTTTCTTGGGTGAGTGGGTGAGAAAGCTGATCCGAGTTTTCTCGCAGGGCTTTCATTGTCTTTGTAAGTGACGGTTATCGAGATGCTAAGTGATTTCACTTTTATAAAGTCCTGTTTTAGTTTTATCATAGATGACCCAAAACCCTAAAAACCTGAAGTGAAACCATGTCAGAAAGATACATGAAAGCAATTCATGCAACGCATCCCATATGAAGAATCTGAAAGAACCGTCAGCAGTGCTCTTATTGGTTTGGCTATATTCAGACTGTTTTAAAAGTTTGCAGTGTGACTCGACTTTTAGTCTAAGCCATATCTGTTCCTATAATGAGCTTGAAAAACTGATTAGCCAAGATCACTAGCACCAGTGTTTATGAGTTTGAGATAGTGAGATTCAGAGTAATGAACAGGAAATAACAACGAGGCAACCAATCTTGTTTTGCCAGACGGGCATGTTAGTTTACCCCGATTCACTGGGAACCTATCTTAGTCAAACGGGTGTCTTGAGACAGTGTGACTGGATTACCCACTAATGTATAGACATTGTTCCAAGCTGTGACCCGCATGCATTTGTGCTAAATGCAGAGTTTGAGTTTTTTTGGTTTTGTTTGCATAAAATCTGTCCAAAAATCATCTGGTTATTAACAGAGCAACACTGTGTGAAAGGGCGAAACAGGTAAACCAGATAATAACATGCCGGTTGTGCCAGTTGTTATGTCGTGCCATCCACTCTTCCTGCCAATCCTGATTTAAACGAACAAATAAAGCGGGGAAGAAGTAAATGTTGTTAAAATACACAGCATGCCACATTGACAGAAAAGGATTTCCTCTAAATAGATTTTCCTCATTCCCAAAAAGATATTTACCAAGTTCGTAGTTACTTCCTGAAATCTCTTGATTGTTTTTTTTGGGGTTTTTTTAGAGCAAAAGTGGCTTCTGGGTATATATCATGCGTCTTTATCAAAACAAATCCAGCAATCAGGCCAAGCCGAGCACCCGCAGCAGTTTAATTTGTTAGGCCAGCATAAAATCAAAATAGTGCATTTACTCAAGGTTGAGGTAAAAGTGCATGTAGCCTAATAAAAGATAAAGAGTTAATTTAGAGATGAGCTGAAAACAAAGAGGTGCATTTCCTCATTTAGTTGAAGCAAAACGTATCTAGGGTGTTAATTATTAAGCTGACGTGACAGTAAACTGGTACCACTGTGGGTTATATTCTGCCAGGGACATGAACTAGTCTGGCTGGGTCTAAATGCGTCTCAGTAACTCATAACACCAGAATATGGACGCATACTCGCTCTGAAGCTTCAGGCAGTACAGACTTATGTCTCTTTCCTGTCTGTAAGGCTCATGCTGCAGCACCTTTCCTGGCATTTCGTGGCAGTGTCGTGAAAAGATCATGGATTATCTTAACACCAGACAAAATGACAAGTGTGTGTTGTCATCTTATTACGGTGATGAAAAGCTGATAGCTTTAGCGGCCGTAGTAATGACAGAGCTCCTGTCAGCTCTGGTGGCGGTCACCCTGTCGAGTGGTAGCCAGAGTAATTTCCAGGGTCTGCTGTGGTTCAGGAGTTATGTGGCGGATTGGCCTTTTTTCCATCTACAGATTTCGGCAGGGTGACTCACTGTGTCTGTTACAGTTAGGTCGACAAGTTTGTGAAACGGTTCAGCTAAAACAGGAGTGTCAAACATAAGGCCCAGGGGCCAGAATCAACCAGCCAAAGACTCCACTCTGGTCAGCGTAGCAGCTTTGGAAAATGTGACGGATGATATAAATTTTAGACTTTTAACTGTGTTTTTCAAATTTTCCTACTGAACCAAAGTAAATAAGTAATAGATAAACAACTAAATAACAAAAGCTAACGAAACATTTTCTGAGATTTTCCAGATATTTTTCCTACAGTTTCAACCCAAAGCAGCAGTTCTTCATCAGATTGATGAAGAAATGCTACATCAACATCAGTACATCTCAGTTTTTCTGAGACGTACTGACGTTGACGTAGCATTTCTTCATCAATTTGAACTTGCACTTGTTGTTCTTATATCAAAATCTTTCATAGATTAAATGTGTAGTTAAGCTTATTTACACTGACAGGAGAGTTTGACTGGTCAAAATTTGCTGAGAATTTCACGTCAAAAGCACCTTTAGAAATGTGTTCACTTACAAGAAAATTTGTGATGTGTCCAATACTTATTTTGTGTGTGAGTGAGTGCACGTGTACCTGTGTGCATGTGTGTGGACATGCT